GACGTTGCATATTGTCAGTTGCACAATAATGTACGTTGACCCGTACAGTTACGTTGCAAAAACACTCTTGAAAAAAAAGACTTATGTACAAGTGCTACCTATTTTCATGTGAGACGTACGTTAGCTTATTTGAACTTTACATCCTTTAAGAGCTTTCATGAAACTAAACGAACTTTGTTGTTATAACAGGGTCAAGATTTTTTAGACTTAATGAGTACTTATTCGCTGATATAAAGACATGTTAAGCCAGAAATATTAGCCGATTATTTTAGAATAACCCACTACCAATCAGCGGCGTCAACAGCACTAAATTTATTAGAGATAACAAACATTTTCAACTTTTTTTAAATTTAAACTGTTAACCAACTTCATAAAAGCCAATACATGGTATTTGGGAACGGGCGTAAGTATAACTCTGACCTACCTCAAATCAAACTTAATGGTATAGACCTTCAGAGGGTAAATCAATTTAAATATCTAGGGCATATACTTACGCCTGATCTCAATGACAATAAGGACATGGAAAGGGAACGTAGGGCTCTGTCGGTCAGGGCGAATATGATCGCACGCAGATTCGCAAGGTGTTCGGGAGAGGTAAAAGTAACGCTCTTTAGAGCGTACTGTACCTCCTTTTATACCTGTAGTCTGTGGCGAGAGTTTACGAACCGGGCCTACAGGGCCCTACGGACTCAATACAATAACGCGTTCCGGGTGTTGATGGGGCTGCCCCGCTTCTGTAGCGCATCAGGGATGTTCGCCGACGCGCGCGTGGACGGCATGGACGCCACTGTGCGCAAGAGGTGTGCGTCCCTGGTGCGCCGCGTGCGGGCCAGCCCCAACTCCGCTCTCCGTGTCATAGGGGACAGGGATGACTGCCCCTATATTAGGCATTGCTGCGGGTTACATGCTCCCAAGCATGTAATCAGATTTTAATTTAAGTTCAATTTTAATTTTAATTTTATTTCAATATTAATTTTATTTCAATTTTAATTTATTTTCAATTTTAATTTAACTTCAATTTTCATTTAAATTCAATTTTAATTTCATTTTAATTAAAATTCAATTTTAATTTTTAATTTTAAGTTTTACTAACTTTAGATTAAGTTCACATGTATGTACTAACAAGTGAGTCTATTGTTACTCGAAATAAAAAGTTATTATTTATTATTATTATTTATTATAAACCACAAAAAGTTACTACACTGAAAAAAATTGAGAATTTCCCTCGATTTTCATGGGATTCCCACATCAGATTCTGACTTGGTGACAATTAGACCACCTCTAGAGTATAATACCTTATCAAACAAAAAACGAAATTTCGAAATCGGTCAACTACTGACGGAGAACATATATAAAAATACGTACAGTCGAAAATAGAGCCTAGTTTTTTAAAGTCAGTTAAAAACGGGTCAACAAGTCGAGATTTTGGTATTTTTGGCAATAAATATTCGTTTATTAAAAACTCTCAATGCACTTAAGCACTTTTGTTTAGTACATTCGACGTGAATAATAATATTATTTATTTAATAAACAAAAAAACATTTATCGAGTTCTTAGGTTTTCGCGATTGTTACACATAGGAAATGAAACTATTTTTCCGGATTTAAATCGCGTATATTTGTTTTTTCAAACAAACCGACGTTTCGGGCCCTTTACAGATCAGGTTAATTAAATAACTTATTTTTAATTTTACAAAGAAAACATTCCAATTTACGCTATATTAACTTTTACAAATTATTTTATCGAATGAATTTTTATTAAGTTCAATTTATTATTAATTATTAATAGAAATTAGAATAAAATAAAACATATTAATTAGTACTGCAGTCTTATGTCTGTTTGTGATTTTTCATTAGAGGAAATACTGGATCCCAAACTGGTGGTACGGAGAAACCATCTTCCCTGTTGAAATTAGGATGTTTTTTAATTTCAATGGCCTCTCGCAGCATCCTGGGTAGATAACGAACTTCTTTTGCAAGGACCTGGGGTTTGTCAAACTTCATTGAATGTGTAGGTTTATCCATTACATGCTCGCAGACTGCAGACTTGTCACTTGTCATGTCAAACACCGTCGCGCAAACAAACAAATATTATAATTACTTATTAAACAATCTATCTACATTTGTGGTTTATTTATACAATTACAACGTGACAATTCTTGTCCAAATCTATTATGTATAATTTTAATAAATTATTATTATTGGTGTCTGTTACCTACTAATCGGTTTGAAGTTTTACATTACTACTAATATACTACATATATATACATATACATATATACTACTAAAATTAACAATATTAAATTAGTTATTTTTGGAGCAAGAAAAACAAAGAAATATCTTAACGGATTCTAATGCTATACAGTAAGTTTGCAAAATTGCCATTTGTATGCATTTAAAATGTGTTTGTTAAAATGTTAAAAAATTACTGTAAATAAACAAATCGTCAATTTATAAATAAATACGTTACCATCCTATATACACTATGTGAAGTATTTGGGTTAGTTAGGTTTTCTGTAAACTGAAAATTCCTAACTTTTTTTACCTGGGGTAATCTGCTACTAGCTAGATATTCCGGCCCTGCGGGGGCAGAGCTAGGGCTATGTACGACTGGCACTGATTTACAAACCGATGATTTGTCAGTTGACAGCTAACCTAACCAACCCAAGTGGTGCATAGCTCGTCCACGTTGTACCCAAGAACCTGTGATGTGTAACAGTTCAACAAACACACTGTGCATACCTATAAACTTTGAGGATCTCACTCAATGTCCATGGAAGCTCCTCGTCAGATTCTGACTTGATGACAACGAGACCTCCTGGAAAGTATATATTTTCAAACAAAGAAAAGAATTTTCAAAATCGGTCTACAATTGGACAGAGAAATCGATCCAGTATATCTGCAATCGTACGCAGGGAGGGACATGGCAGCTATTCAACTTCCAATATAGAAGTGTACATTATGGCAACACAGCAAATTTTCACTGAGCAAGTGTTCTTAGTTATTCGATTCTCATTTTACCTAATTTCTTTTTACAGGCGCTATGATTGGCTCGGTGTTAGCGTTTCAAATCGGAGGTTTCCTCGCGGCGTCACCTCTGGGCTGGCCATCGATATTCTGGGCAACTGGTGGTATTTGCATCATCATGGCAGTTCTTTTGACCATCTTCGGAAAAGCGTCCCCGCAGCTGCATAAACATATCACGGAAGAGGAAAAAAACTTTATTTTGGGAAGAGTGGGCAGTGGTGTTGAGAAGGTATATTATTGAATTATAAAATCATAATAATTATCATCAAACTGTATACATCCCACTACTGGTCACGGGTCATCTTTGAGGAGAGGGTTTTTGGGTTCAGTTACCTCATCCAATGCTGGCTAGGATACATCTTTGAAAATATAAGTAAACCTTTTCTGGCAGTGAAGCCCAAAGTATTTAGTAAGCATTTACGTAACAGAGACTTTCTAGCGACGAGAAAATTAAAATGACTTAAGGCGCATTTTAGCTCGTTTTCGTTTGCCGAGTCATGCGCTGTAATAGCTTTTTTAGTCATGTCATCAATCGTCGCTATCGTAACTAGCTAAAACGCCCCCAATGTCCGTGAATATAATAAAAGTTCCTATAATATTATTTACATTACTTAGGAGAAACTATCTTTCTTTAACATTTTCCGTAGCTGGCACAACGTACCAATTTCTAAATTTATTTTATTCAGCTTAATAATTATATTTGCGTATAATTCATATTTTTACATAATAATAATAATAGTTAGTCGATATACATTATAGTTCCACTGCTGCGCAAAGACCTTCTCTTACAATCGGAGCGCTTTGGGCGGCGGAAACTTCACACACATCATTAAATTGCTTTGTACATGTGTGCAGGTTTCCTTCACTGAAAATGTCATGGTAAAAAGTAAAGCTGAGTAAAATTCAAATAAAACTTCGCACATCAATTTCGAAAAACTCACGAGGTGCAAGCCCGAATTCGAACCCACGATCCTCTACTTGAGAGGTGGTAGGTCAAACCATTAAGCTACCACGGCTGTCGACGACCACTTTACCTATTTCTGCCGCCAAGCAATAATGTGCATTACTGCGTTCCGGTTTTAAAGGGTTGAGGGTGCTGGCGAAATTATAAGCTCATGAGACTTGTCAACTATGTCTCAGGGCACCCGGCATAGTGGCAATACCCCTCAGATCATAAAGCTCCGAGTGGCACTGCAGCTGTGATGGACAGGCGTGTACCCATCAGGTGCACATATTCGCCCCGTCATTTGGTAGTATATAAAAAAAGCATTATTACAGTAACAAAAAAAATGGTATGCTTTCCTGCTCAAGCAATCATCTACAGCACTACTGTTATTAGACAGTGGGATTTGAAAAAAAATCTTTACCTTGAAGGTATACTACTACACGTTCAAAAGATGTATCCCATCGATGTAAGCAAAACAAAAACTCTGTAAACTAAACTCTGCATGATTTTAAAAGGCTCAGTTGAATAGGACTTTTAGTTCAAACTTCAACTATTCTATAACAATAATAACTGTTCTTGTAAAGCATTATGTGGTGTGGGAAAGTAGACAGATAAAACTATTTTCTCAAACATGCTCGGAAATGTTTGCATTACTTTCAAAAAACGAACATGGGAAGTTAGTCGTTTATGGCCCGTGAGACCTGAGAGAAGCAAGTATGAAAATCCATTACTGTCCACTTTTCTAAACTTATAAATCTAGATGAATAACCATAGGTAAACAGACAAAGGAAAACCTCATACAGCCAACTGTCCAGTGTTAGTAATTGCGAGAATTGAAATACTTGCATACACCGCTTGCTTAAAAAAAAGAAAAAGGCGGTAAATTAAAATAAAATGCTGTGGTATTCTTTTCTGTTTTTTCGTCTTTTTTGTACTTTCGCCGTGACAATGAGTGAGACAAGCGGTAACGAAAATGCAGTCATGGATTGTACTCCTCCTTTATATTAGCTTAATATTAGCAACGGAAAACTTGTTGCCGGCTATGAGCAAAACAAGATACATGAAAACCTATGAAACTTTCAATCAATAGCAATTAAGGTAAGGTTTGTTCGTATATATATCGTAATGTGTAACATTGAAAGATATTATTCAGATACTGTAAATAAGCATGGCAAACCTTTGCTGGTTTCAGGTTGCTCTAATTTTAGGGATAAACGGTGCATGCAGGAGTACAGCTCACGAATATCACCACAAAGGACATAGAATAATTATACTTTTAATATTAATTAATTTTGCTTTTTCTACTTTTTTATTATACATCTTCCTGTCTTTAGTTATTTATTATTTCCTTCCTTTGTTTGAGAAGGGCAAAGTAGCTCGTAAAACCTATGCGTGGTATTTTGAGATGTTTACTCTAGAAAATGTAATATCCTAATAAAGTCTCAAACAGAGGCCGTGGTTCGAAACCGGCCTCGTACCTCTGCGCTTCCGGAATTGACTTAAGAAATTTAATTCGGAATTTACCATGAGTTTTTCGGTGATGGAAAATATCATGGGAAATATTCGAAGATGGTTCACAATCCTCAGTAAAAATGTAAAGTCCCCAACCTGCATTAGCCAGTGTAGCGGCCAAAGGCCTAAACCTAGGACCTGAGAAATACACACCTACATAAAATTATATTCTTATGACTCATTATTTTATGTTTAAACGTAACGGCAGCTCTCTGTTCCAGAGACAAAAGACCCCGTGGAAGGCGATTCTAACCTCGAAGCCGGCGTGGGCTCTATTCATTGGACACGTCGGCACTGCACTTGCGTACATGTTCTTTTTCACTCAAATTCCTACGTACTTGCATTACATTCTCGACGTCAACGTGAAAAGTGTACGTATGACGAAACCTAAGTGCTTATCAACGACACTCGTAAAACCTATGCGTGGTATTTTTGAGATGTTTGCTCTAGAATCTAGAGTCTAGATTGACTTTTGAAGTATTTGCGTTGTCAATTTATTTAATTGGATCTCCTTAGTACTGTGTTATTTTTGTGAACCTTTGTTTATATTTTCTTATACTCTATTAACATTTCGAACTGGTGTCACCGTCACGTTTCCACCCTCGCACTTCCTGCAAAGGAGTAAAGCTCATCCCTATATCCTTGAAGCCTGGTATATTCGCATGCATCATGTTCGTTTCTTCCAAGAACCTGCAAAAACAGGCTCTCATACGCTGGCAACGTATAGCAGCTTCTCTGGTGTTGCAAGTGGCTCCACTGCTTATGAACCTCATCTATATTACATAAAAAAGTATATCATTTTACAAGCCTTTGTTTACTTCATTTTGTATACAATGTTACATTCGCAATAATCACATCACATGCATTGTGTTGTTTTGTTTTGTTTTCAGAGCGGTTTGTTGACATCTTTGCCATATTTAGCTAATTTCTTTATGGCATTTCTCTTCGGGCTGTCGACAGATTATTGCATTAACAACAACATCCTCACTTGCAAGCAAACTAGAATGATATCTAACACCGTGGGTAAGCGCATAATTATCACAAAAGTATCTACAGGTCTCGTTAAATCTCGTCTCCCAGGAAGCACAAATTAGTCTAATGACCTTTTTCAACTTCATAGAGCCTTTGTATTTATTCTATCATTTATAAAGGTCAAATTCATTCAAGCAATCTCACCCATGTACCTGGGACTCACCTCTGTGCACTGTCTGATTATTCCTCTACTGCAACCTTCATCCTGTCAAATAATATCTGTCTGTTTTTTGTATTCTATCATGTTAATTAATTTGTGTTCTTACAATGTTTTTCCTTTTTTTGGCTTAATTCTTGTACGCGTGAGTTTCAAAATTATTATTTGAATTATAAAATTTAGGTAAATGTTTGTAATATTGTTTTCAGCAAACGTATTCCCGGCAATCTGTCTTACAGCATTATCGTTCACACGCAGTACGACTGTGGCCGTGATTTTACTCATAGTAGCACTGGGCACACAAGCAGGGTGTCACACCGGATGGATGGTATTCAACTTTTTACAGCCCATTTATCGTTTATATAATATTTCTGTTGGCACGAACCTCTTTCTGCCAGTGTTCGCTTTTTGGTAATATTTTGAACCTGTCTATTTTTACTATCCAGGTTAATTACATAGACCTAGCGCCTAATTTCAGCGGTACTCTGATAGCCACGGGTGCTTCTCTACTTAACGTATTTACTATTCTCTTACCAATCTTCGTCTCTCAAGTTGTAACGGATGTAGTAAGTATTTTTATCTTTATTGTAGCCTTCAAGTCTTATGTGATTAACAAAAACATTTTCATAAGTGTTTTTAGTCATATTTTTCCTCAATAAAACAAGAAGCATTTAATCTTGTTATTGAGGACTGTTACTTTAATTTTCAATGTTTTTCTAAGTAATATATCTCCTTACAGAAACAACGGAGTCACTGCATTCCCTTGTCATTCATTTCATCATAACAAATAAAATATAATAATTGCTGTATGTATAGCATTATACCGCGTAGTTTCTTCATTAAGTATTATTATTTGATTAGACATGGTAGCCTAATTGTGTGACCTACCGCCTCTCAAGCAGAGGCCGTGGGTTTGAATCTGGGTTTTCACAAAACTGAGTTTTTCTTTGAAATTTACCATGAGCTTTTTGGTGGAGAAAAACATGGTGATGAATCCTGGACGTCGCAGAAAGTTTACAACCCTCAGAAAACGTGTGAAGTCCAAACCTGCATTGGGCCAGTGTAGAAGACTATTGCCTAAACCCTCGTCTGAGAGGAGATCCGTGCCCGGCGGTGGGATAAAAGGACTGATGATGATGAATATTAATTAAATTTGACGTCGTATATTCATTGATTACATCCCTATGAAGTATAAAACGAGAACAGAAAGGTTTTTATAAGTATTTGCAATACCGAATTAAGAGATCTTCGAATTATTTTTTTTTTTTATTTCCTCTTTGTATCTAATTTAGTCATTTAAAACTGTTCTTTGAAAACGCAATATCCAACATTTTATGTTCTCAGCGAGATCCTTACCAGTGGCGCATCGTGTTGTGCTCTATGGCTGTGTTTGGAATAATGTGCAATACGGTGTATATGTTTTTTATATCTACCGATCCTCAGTCGTGGAATGACACCCAGTGTGAAAATGATGGTAATTTATTTTTGGATATTATCTTACCTAAGTTGAAAAAGTAATATTATTATAAATTCTTTTTGACGACCGCTACCTCGGTGGACTAACAGTTTGCATTGTGCTGGCTGGCTGCCTCCGTAAAAAAGCGAAGATTTCTGTGTCGATGATTTAGTCACTGGTTCTCAAACAAAAGAAAATTTAAATAAAATTAAAGAAGACGTATGCCAAGTACTATCCACGGGTTGTTTCAATCTGCGAAAAATCAGATCAAACTTAGAGCTTTCTCGGTCGGATTCGTGTCAAACTTTGAATTTGGGCAAACAAGGCTTTTCAAGCACCTTAGGTCTGGGCGTGGTCGCGGTCTAATGACAAATCATTTTTCACTATAAAAATTTTAAAAATTCGCTTTACTATGTTAAATAATTAAATTTTAGTCAAATATCGTTTTACGTTCTTCATTTTCATCCATCATCCGAGTTCATAACGCCAAAGTATTCATGGTCAAGTATTCATATAGTTCTGGAACGGAGGTCCCAGGGGGTCGATTCTTTTGTTTTTTTTTTTTTTTTATTGCGACTCGACAAAATGACTGCACCGCGCCTGATGGAAAGTGCGAATACAGTCCAGAGATGAGAGTAACGGATGGAAAACACAAATATCTTCACTCCGTCACTATCATTTTGCCGGTCTGGCCAAATGCACTGGATGTACACCAACTGATCCCTGAACGCGATTCGCAAAAGCGTTTCACTGTGGAGGGTTTTCCGCCGTGTGTACTGTGGTCGCTATCCAGTCGGCACAGAGCCTACCACAATGCTAAGCAGATGGACACTTGTGACGCCCTCGGTCGCCTCTTACGACCCCCACGGGCATGTATGGGGAGGCGACAATGTATTCTTAAGCCGTCGCCCCACGGCTAAAAATTCAGAACATTTTAATAACTCAGTTGTAGACCGATTCGATTTGATATCGTACGATTTCATTTTTATTCATAACACCCGAATCGAATGTCAAACTGTCGAATTCGAAACGGAACCGAAATGACGTCACACCCGTATGTTTACTTCTCGACCGACAAAGGCTACAAACGTTATTCAGAACACAGCTATCGAATGAAAGTTACCGAAAGTCCGATGCTGACAAAGCAATAATGTAATATGGAAATCTCTTATTTTTTTAGATAAAGTTAAAGTATAATTAAAAAAGTGTATAAAAGGATTTTAATTTTTCTTATAGTCTATTTCACCGGCTAACTCCGTAAACGCCGTTGGGTGACGATATTGTATCCGAATCGGAATCGAACGGATCAATTTGGGAAATGAAGTTTCCTAAATTGGTTCTAGTCAGGGTGAAGTGGGTTATGTAGCTCTGGCATTCTTAATACGGAGAATTCCCTAGATTGAGCCCAGAAAATTGGTGTGATTGTCTGGCACAAATTATTAATTATTATAATTCAAGAAATTAAATTCACAACAAAAGAAATCATTAGTTTTCCTTTTTTCAGCACTGAAAGAGTTGGATGCGCAAGAACTTCAAAAGACGACCTTAAAACAATGAATAAAGTCACTCGTCATCAATATACCATCAAGCAATGAGAACAAAACAAATTGTGTAAATTTGACACAATTTGCAGCATCAAATATTATATTTAGGAATGAGAAATGAACTTTGACACGTTGTTGTGTTTACATTCTTGAGTATAACTTGGGTGCTATAGCCAAAGTGTAATTGAGTTTAGAAATACAGATCTTTAGTTTCCTTTATTTTTGCTATTGTCACATTTTGAGCACATTTAGCTTTAGGGAAGTGACCCTGAGAAGCGAGCTATGAGGGCAACTTTGAAATAGCATTAGCATGAGCCCGAAAACGAAAGTTATCGCTTTTCTCTGAACTGTCAATTTTCTCTCGATAATGACGTCATTATGGGATATTTCTCACTGTCTCCACGGCGCGAGCAAAAGCGCTACGACTCACAAGTCGTCTCGTACTCAACTATGAAATGACGACAACTTCCCTACCTCCATGTCATGACGACTATACTTTTGACAGACTTTCGTAGAGATATATCTCTGCCACCCACCAAGCAGAAGACAATCGATCAATAAATTAAAAATTTCGTAGTAGTAGTAGGCACGAAAAATGTCCTGCGCCATAATGTGATAAGTTTTACGAAGAAAAACTGGCAGAGGACATCGATTCCACCTCCCTTTTCCCTAAATCAGTTACTAAGCAAATGTACTAAGTTTTTTTAATTAATTTGTAAACCTTACAAAATTTATCTTTTACATATTTTGGAATGTAAAAAGTAACTATTTAATTATGTGTTGAGCTTTGACTGTAAGCAGTAATAAAAACTGTCAAATACAGTTACCTTAACCGTGTATTTTTTTTTTTCCATTTGTAAAAAGCGAACACAATATTCCGCCATTTGTTTCACACCTGTTTGAATGCGCTTTTACGACAACAAGTATTACATCGTGTATCGGCGGTAAATAAGAAATTATTAACGATACTTTGTTAGACGTCTGAGGCTGAAGGTTAAAAGCTTTAATGACTTTCATCACATTAGTGAGGAAATAGATACAATGATAATTTATTTCTTGTATGAATAAAAGTACATCGCTTCACAACACAACAATTTGGCGGGATTTTTTTAACAGATTGCCAGCTATTCTTCCATATTTAATAATACAACTCGAACTAAAATGTTTTAAAGGCACAGGCGCATGCAGCCACAATGTATTAGATATAAAACAAATAATTACCAAATTCTAAAAATACTGCAGAATCTAAAACCACAAAATAAATTTAATAAAATATAGTTAAATTGGAAATGTTTAATATTTTTGTAATTCAAATTTATGAGAAATATATGTACGTTCGGATTTTTCGAGAATAAAAACTTTTTGCTTAATCTTGACGTAAAAAACACATAAGACGACAATGCCATAAATTAAATGTGCCAAAGCAAAAAGTTTAAGTGCTTTAGCGCTATTTAAAGCCCTGAGTGGCACTGCAACTGTTATGGACAAGCGTGTCGCTTACCATCAGGCGCATGGTGAGGTGGCACGACTTGTTCGTCCCGTCATTTGGTTTCATAAAAAAAAGTTATGTCATTTACATAGCTGGCATCTTATTATAATTTCTTAAGCAAGGTGGGTTTAAGTTATTTTAGTTATATAAATAATTGGGCCTAGAAAAACAACACAAATTGATGCAGCAAAAACTGGAGCTCGTAAATCAGAAGACACAGTGGTTAACTAATATTTACTTGTTTTATTTGATTGTGCTTCCTAATGAGTCGAGATAAATTTATTTATTCTTCTTATCGTAATACCAAAGACTATGTTACCAAAGTAGAGACAAATTAAGGGAAAATGTTTAGGTTTGTTTTGAGCTAAGAATTAAATGTTAAATTGTACCATTGACGAGATACCTTATATTGAAATGATTTTATACACAACTAATTGTGCCTAAAATTTTAAGTTCTATTTTAATTTAATAATACTATTGGAGTTTTCTTCCTATCGTATTGATGGCATACACTACAATGCTTGCCATCGTGGTGAAATGAATTGCCAACCGGCGTGAGGTACTCGCACAGGTGAGAAATGGTATGTCGGCGTGCAAGCTCCTTGCGTCTACTCCACTTTTCATTTTTATTTAATACCGTTGTAGGGTGTGGGTATTTTGATATCTGAATCATTATTTTTGTGACTCTTCGAATGTGAAATTATTTAATCTTTGCCCTGTTAGTCCCAATTTGCTACGACATTTTCGTTTACTTATATGTGAATAAGGTTCAAAGAGAGTGCTCATTGATTTAATTTAGTGCTGAAAATAGTAATGATGGACAAAATTAAAAAGAACTCGTATGAGACAGTTGCAAGTGATGAAGATAAAAAAGGTTAGTAAAATTTCTTTTACCAATCTAGTGTTTTATTTATTTTATTTTTATGTAATTGGTACAGTTTAAGACACAGAGCTCAACATAAGACTATTATACTACCTTACACAGTTTTCTTTATTATTTATTATTCAATCAAGAATCTATTTCCCGCTCACGCGATGCGCTCCTCCCACCGCAAAATGGCGGCTATTTGGTTTCGCAAATTAGAAAAGGATTCAGTTTAAATACAAGTTTTTATAAATAAAAATTATTACTCTGCATTGCTAAATAAATGCCCTCCGTACTATCAACAAAAACATCTCAAATAAAATGCAGTAATACACCGCCAATCCTGCACTTAAAAAGCACTAATGAAATTTTTGGTGTACTTGGATAAATATGATAATATTCCGTTTGAGTGGTTCTAACGTTTACCATGAAATTACTCTTTAAAGTATAGTTTATAAATATTAATATTCAGGGTAAACTTAAAAAACGCTACTTACGGTATGTTTTCAACAAATAAACTCCGAAATCACCAGCCCAAACAATAACCCACGATTGTCGTGACGTATTTTTGAAGTTGTTTATTTTTTTTAAATGACAGACCCAGGCATTAGAAACTTTATGGTTTGCTAGAGTAGTTACCGAAATAGCAATTAATATTAGTTCATTTCCTGTTATAACTTCCATATCCGGATAAATCGGTATAAAATCATCACCGGCATCTCTAGGTGTGGTATGCGTCTACGGCTGCATGTATCGCGTGAGCGGCTAAAACAGTAGCATATACAGAATTTGTACCGTACACACATACATAAAGTAAAACAAAATTAAAATAAATAACATAAAACGATAAACAGAACATAATTAACAAAGAAAATTATTGTGTGATACAAACATATAAAAGTATTTACTATTACGTTGCTACTTTTGTATTGTTGTTGTGTTACTGACAAAGACAAATGGTTAACTAGTATTTTTAACCGACTTCAAAAAAAGGAGGAAGTTCTCAATTAGACGGTGTTTTTGTATGTATGTTACGCGATAACTTCGGTATTTGTGAACCAATTTTCATGATTCTTTTTTGTTGGAAAGAGGGTACCTCCATAATAGTCCCATTTAATTTTGAAGAAAATCATCCACCTTTAAGGGTGGCTGTACAAGCACGAAGGTTCATTTTTATAAATATCACCAAAATTTTAGTATAATGAACAATTATTTTAATGGTTTTTGCTATTCTTTAATTCAAGGCGTTTTTCTCTCAATATATTTTGGGTAGTGAGAACCGATTTTTATTATCTCCTCTGTCAAATCCCGTATAGTGGCGAACTAGGGGATGAACCCGGGTTTGCGCACTTTCCGGTAACCGATATCAATAAAACTTGGTAATTGTATGTAGTTCCACGTACTTTTGAGTTCGATTTTTTAGTACTCTGTACTGAGATTATTCCATCTAATTACGCTTCATTTAGAGCTAGTAATTATTATGCAAAAATTAAAACATTACAATTCAATATACATTCTTATAGCGCAGGGTTGTATTTTGCAACATTATTGGTTGTAAGTGGAAGCGCAAAGAGCTGCGGAGGACACATAGTCCTTTGATATTAATATGCGCGAGTCACGCGAGCGAGGAATGTGTGCGAGGGTTGTAAGGTGTAGGTAACTAAAACTAATAGGCCGTCACCTCCGCTTACCCAACTACACCGCACCCCACCCGCGCACAGCTGAAAAGAGCCCGCTACTCATTCTTGTACCGCTCAGCTACACACAATTTCACAGCTTCGGTACACATCCTCGCACAGCTTTGGTGGAACCGCAGCCTAAAAGGTTAAATTTCTGCAGTTGGTCGTTGTATTCCAGCAATCCATTTCAAACTACACTCGCTACTAACGAGAAAACAGCAATTTTAATATAACACATTTAAAACATTTCTATTTTCAGCTGATCTTATCCCATTAAAATATGGCTATGGCATACGCCATATACAGGTACTGCTCATCTTCTGCAGTCTGTGTGTCAACTTCATTGCTCGGGCTCATCTCAGTGTTACCATAGTCGCTATGACCGATATCCCTAAAAAAAACAATAACATCGTATTTAATACCACTATTCGTGAAAACTTTAGAACTTTTAGTGAATTTGGCTTAAAAAATGCCAGTGATAATAGTCAAATTACAGACGTTAAAAATGATACAATACTAGATTTATATAAAGCCAATTCTAATGGATTGGTAACAGAAACAGACGCTCTAGATGCTGTGAATAAACTTAATAAGTCCAATGATGATATTATATTAGAGTTAACAAATGTGAACAGCACATTAAATGAAGAAATGCACAATGATGCAAACCTCAATCTCAGTATTTGGAATATTTACAGGGTAAGTTTTAAAAAGTGACCAATATTTTTGTACAGATAAACAGTACAGTGTACTGAACTAAAATGAACGTGCATTAATTAGACTCTGGTTTTTCTATCTATGCATTTTCGGAGAAGTGAAAGAATGAGAAACATAAATTTCTTTCAGAAATATTCATGGTCAAAAGCAATTCAAGAGATGGTATTAGGCTCCTTTTTTCTTGGCTACATGATAATGATGTCACCGATGGGTCTCATCTGCCAGCGCTGGGGAGGCAAGTTACCACTGCAAATTGGTCTAACTGTCAGTGGTGTTATTGCTTTCTTAACTCCGTGGTTGGCTGCTTGGGTAAGACTTAGGCCTATACTATACTGCAAAGACGTCGGATGTGTACCTAAAAATGGTAGGACGTATGTAATTCACACGTTCTTCATTACTGAAGAGAATGAAACTTGTGTTGAAACGGGTTTGATCGCACATCTTATATGCTTCTTGTTTTTTTTTTTTGTTTAGAAGAAATTTTAAACCAATATAATTTTGCAATTTTATAATGATATAAAAATCACAATGGAACAAAATATACAAACGGACGAAAAGTACATTAGAAAGAGTGAATTATTTTATTGTTATAACTTCAAACTTTGCTTGGATACTCGCCAGGGCGGTTGGAAAGCTGTGTGCGCATCTCGAATAGCCACGGGATTGGCTCAAGCAGGCACTTATCCCGGGACTAACACGCTCGTTGCAAAGTGGGTACCATTGAGTGAAAGAGGAAGACTTGGGACTTATGTTTATATCGGTAAACCCTTTGAATTTTGTATTATATTTTGAATAATAATCCACGTAAAATATAATATGCTCAAAGGTGTACTTGTGCCAAGGTTATGTGTTGTGTAGATTGTAATATATTTCAGATATTTAAAAAGTATAACTTTGAGCCACTGATTTAATTCTTTGAAGCGGTAAAGTTGAAAGCATAAAACAAATACTGACTTTTTACAACATGCTTACAGTTTCTTAGAAGTATACATTAGTATTGCAATAAACAAGATTTCATTTCTTTTAGTAAATCTTATTACATATTTATTACTTACTTATTATATCTTCTTTATTTTATCTTCGTTCTGATATTGTCATCGTTCTTGAACTTTACATTCAATCGTATATAATCGGCGCAGCTGTAGGTACGGAGTATGAGAGGAGTGCTTTTGTACACGACATTTTGTTTTATTTTTAAGGATCCATGATTGGAGCAGTTCTAGCGTTTCAATTAGGTGGTTTCCTAGCTGAGTCTCCACTAGACTGGCCGTCAACGTTCTGGGTCACAGGCGGCCTTTGCATTACAATGGCTATCCTAATGACTGTCTTCGGAGCTGCGTCGCCACAACAGCACAAATCTATTACAGATCTAGAAAGAAATTTCATATTAGGTCGAGTGTGTACTGGTATTGAAAAGGTAAGAGATTG